AAATTTTGAATTAAGAACTATGAACTAGTTCATTTTTTGGTTTTGAATTATGAACTATGAACTGAACTAGTTCATTTTAAAATGGGTGAACTGAACTTTGAACTAGTTCACGTAGAAAGAGAACTTTCCCAACACTGCTCACTTCACTGAGGGAGCTTTTTTCCCCCCCGAAGCTTGCTCTCTGCTGTTGGGGCTGCAGCGTGTTCACCTGCCTCTGTGAGCTAATTGCATTAATAACTGTTACATTAGTTTCTGCTAGAGAAAGATAAAGAGGGCACAAGGTCATTAGGAGGTTCTGATGGAGGGAGAAACAAATAGTTCTTTAGATTCACTTTTTTTGCAGTTTTGTTTTCTGAATCCTACAAGCTTGAACCTTTGTTATGATTCTGGTGTGTTTGTTGTTGTTTTTTTCTAGGATCACTTCCTTACCGGATGATTACCTGTGCTGGCAGATAATAGGATTCGAGCGGGAATTGCTAAGCAACAGTGATAGTTACTCCCTTCTTCAACTCCTACAGGTTTATCTATCAATTCCAGCTCTGCTGACCTGGATACAAAGGAACTAATGCCGACTGGTCATGCACGATTGCTCCTGGAGAAGAGTTACAGTAGCAGCCATTCAAAATGACCCTTACCACTCAAATGCCAGCCGAATGGCAGCCCACTTCCCTACAACTTCCAGACAAATCCCCTCCAACTTCCAGCCACTAGAGTGACCCACTCTATTTTTACTCTGAAGGGTTGTGTATCCTCCCGCAGCAGTGTGTCGGAGTTACCTTATCGCAGGTATGACACAGATATTTTTGATTTATGCCCAATGTTGAAGAGCGGTCTGCGCTATGTTATTCCACGCCACAACGCAATAGGGACAATCACAAACTAGATAGGATTGTGGGTGTCCGTGTGTCAGTTTGACAAACTTGTTCACCGTCTACAATCCCTCATCCAACGCCGGGCGACGCACAGTTCACCTGTGAGCGTTCCCCAAGACTGGCCATGGCGCTGCGTGTTTTGGCTTCGGGTGCAAACAAGCAGACGTTGCACAGAGCTACAAACTAGCGTCCTGCACGGTGCCTGGGATAGTGTCCGAGGTGTGTCAGGTGTTATGGACGGCACTACAGCCAGAGTTTCTGCCATTAGGTACCAAACAGGAAATACGCATAATGTAGAGCAGATGTAGAATTGACCAATCAGAGGCCTACTTTCTCTACTCCTGTGACACTATATGCAGCGCCTACAATGTTAGGGAGGTACAACAGAGTGTCTGCAGAGGGTGGGCATATCTGCGTTAGCTCCGGTACGCAGATCACCTGGTTTCTGAGCATAAATCAGGCTTGACTCCACCCTTTCACTGAATTACAGGGTTTGACCAGGAGATGGCGCTTCCATTTAGATCTTAATGTCCAGAAATAATGACAGAAATAATATTTTTGTGCAAATATTGATGTTTAAAAAGAAATTGTAGAGGACCAGGACATTTTAAATAGCTACTTGCTTGTATTGTGGTGAGAATTGCGATTTCATCTTCTCCTGCCCTAAAGAGTTAAAAGAAAAGATCTTTCGTGAAACTCACTCTTTTGGACCCAGAAATGTTTTTAAAAAAACAAAACTGTCTGTTCCACCAGAGTGAAGACCCAGACTTTTAACTAGCAATGCAATACAAAAAATATTACAAATTGTACGCCCTGTTTTTGGGATGTATTGCTATGGTACGCCCTAATTTTGTACAACTTCATTCGCACGGAGAAGCATGCTGTGCTGTTTGCAAGCAGGAAAACCTGAAACTTCGAAAAGTTTACGAAAACGAAAACTCATCAAATGCCTGATTTTTTCCAGGTGAACTTTGGTAATCAGCCTCTCTCCTCTGTCGATGATCCAGAAAACAGATAGCTGAAAACCAGACCTGAGTTTACAGTGGTTCCATGGAACATTAAAGAAATCTCATGACTTTCTAATAATGACTGGTACTGATAACATCTCTCTCCTACGCACATAGGATGGCTTCATCTGAGTGCTACATAGGAAGTTCCTCTGAGAATGACCTCACTTGAATCCTTGTTTTATTGCTTTCACAGTTTATATGCGATACGGACAGGTAATCATTGCTCTATCAAACAATTGTCTGATGATGTCATCTTTTTTAAGAATTTGACCACAGAATATGTCCCCAGAAAGGTATATTTCAAACTTATTTCAGCACTGCTCTGTTTGGAAAACAGTGATGAGATTGACTAAAAATGCAATTTTGGATTAATCCTGCATTTTAAAATTGAATTTTAATTCTGTCATTAACTTTATCATGAAGCCGCTAGGATCTGCAAAGACCTGAGCTCTGTCTCGCCTGACTTTAACCTACTGCACCACTGTTCTGCAGATGTATTGAGATTTGGTGGGAAATACGGTATATGGGTTATTATATAAAAAAAAAAAGATGATGTGCTGTAATGACTTCTTAGAACGGTCCAGTGATGAAGATCCTATGAACCAGTTCCTTATTAAGTGATCTACATGCTTCATGCTACGTTCACAGCTAACGCCACTTCAGCAGCAATAAAGTATCTGCTGCTTCATTTTTGATGCTTGAACACATTAAGGGGTCTTTGATGCTCCTGAAGTG